AGAAAGAAAAGAAAATAGAAAGAAGCAAAATAGAAAGAAGAGAAAATAGAAAGTACAAAAATAGAAAGAAAGAAATAGAAAGAAAAAACTTTCWAAATCAATCYTTCCACAATCYTAGRAATATATACAATTCTATTTTCAGATCTGAACCAGTAACCCCACGTTTTCCAACAGAAAGAAACAAAAAAAAAAAGAATGGAAAACAGTGGCAACATGCAAGATAACAGCTCAAAAAAAAAAAAAAAAGCCAAGCCCTATGAGCACTTCTACAGACCGCATTATATCTAAGTGGTCCCTTCCACACATCGAGATCTGAAAGCAGTTCCTTTGGGATTTACTTGTTCAGTAACTCATACAATGAACCATAAAGGGCAACAAAGCATATGTATCCTCTCAAACTGCATGTCAAGCCATCCAAAGAAAATATCAGGTTTCTCTAACTCCATGCACACACCTCAACTCTCCTTGCTGCCTTACTATCTCAAGGAGGTCTAATTGCAGCAATATAGCTGTACATGTGTGGTCCCATGTGGGTGTAGGGCCCTTATTTCATTCCAAACTACCATATCTAAGGGTGTAGGGCCCTTAGACATACCTATAGTGCCAATCAAGGCCAATTCATGGTTGCCAAATAAGATGACAGATACTGCAAAGGATGCATAGATTGTACAAGAAGTTCCAATCACTAAGATAGGTTCTTTGTTTTGTTCCCTTTAAATGGTTTAGTATTTGCAAGAGGTAGGATGCATCCTTAAAGAGAAACTGGAAAATGAAAATGTTAGAGGAGTGCTATAGAAACTGAGCAGTTATACTGGGTCCAAATGAATAACATAAAAAAGGATAAAATAGAAGTAGGTTGAGCAACCTCTCGAGTTCTTAGTATTCCCAAAATGTTTAAGCAGAAAGAGAAAATTTAGAAAACTGTTCAGCATTTATGACATCTCCAGATTACAAAATGGTTTATTAGCTGAAACAACAACATAGAAAAATGGTAACATTCATGTCTATTATGTCCTTACAATTGAGATGAAAAAGTTATATGTTTACTTACTCATGGTCATAGATGGTTTTGGGAAATCCCAGACCAGAAACTGAATCAAAATTTGTCCTCCGATGTATTTCATGCACATCAGCATTTCTTTTAAGTTCATCCCCTTCTTTTTCACCTGCTGTTAGGTGACTACAGATGAAACAAAAGAGTGTCTGATATATAGACATGCTGACAGATATTGATCCCTGGAATATTAAAAAGATTTGTCAACATATATCCAAATTTACCATGGGAAAGATTCAAATGATTAATACTGCTCATCAATCACAACGGTACAAATAATTATAAAACAATCACAACAACAACAGAATTATTTTTTTACCAGATTTTATCAAAGAAAATTAGAAACTGCAATAAATATCATAAACCAACAAGGAAAAAGAACATCAGACCACAAGGAAAGTGAAGAAAATCAATCCAGTAAATAATTGCAACCATCCTACAAGGGCAGCCCAGTACGCATCCTGCCAATGCAGGGTCTGGGGAGGGACAGATGTACCCAGCCTTACCCCTGCACATAAAGAGGCTATTTCCAAGATTTGAACCCTGGCCACCCAGGTTGCAATGGAGCAACCCAACCATTGAGCCAAGGCCCACCCTCAATTGCAACTAACCTATCTATATATTTTTTGTTAGACATTCTGGAAGATGGTTTCATTGCCATTCATAATTTTTTACAAGTCTCATCCTTTATGATTCAACCTGTTGTTTTCTATACCTATAGGACTCATCCTAATAATTTGCTTGATACATAGTAAATATAGTTTGTAAATTATAATGAGTGGAAATTCCAAAAGAAATGTACACAAATAGCAAAGACAAGCAATAATAGTCTATTGATCAAAATGCACTTAACAATAAATTGTAGAAGTTGTATATGCTGACTGATTCTTAAAAGAGAAATTTATTCTAATAAATGATATTGATACATATAATATTTACATGGCCAGTATTCCTTTCAGGAGCTGCACTACAGATAAGGTAATCTCGTCTACTGAATATGGAAACTGACGTGCTTCTTATAAAAAGGGATAATGTTGTCAAGTTTCAACCTATTCAATAGCCATTTTCCTTAGCATTGGATGTTTACATTATTCTAAAATAAGTTCTTAATAGTGTTTGCAGGTAAAGAATTACTTCACTTCTCTAGATACTAGCAATGGAAAGAAACAGTTCTTTTCAAAAACGTACAAAGCTCTCTCAGTTTGGAACTTCTCTTTCTACTCCTCTTCCTTGCAATATGTGGCAGTTTATTTTGTAATTGGAGTCTCCAAATAGGGGTAGGAGGATATGGGTATATTTACATGTTTAAACTGGATGGATATCAAAAAGAAATGAATTCAGCTATGGAGAGGGTTTCTTTAATAGGGATATTTTCTTGCCTAGTTAGCTCATTTTTTGCAGGAGTTTCTTTTCTAATAATACAATTATATATCATTGCCTTTCTCAAAAGATGCATCAACACTGATTATGGGAACTTTTTTCCTTCACTATTTTAACCATCAACAAAAAGAGGTATTTGTTGAAAGAGAAAAGAAAGATGAGTACAATCCATTCAGAAAATCAGAAATAGGCTATGGGCAACTCCCATGCCCATGGCAATGGGTTCTCCTTTACAAATATACAAAAGGAACATCTAACCCAGCATGAAAAGGAACCAAACAAGAAAGAAGTTTATTCCTCTTGGCTCACACCTAGTGGAGTCGTCAAAACAGGGAAGCTTGCACACACACGTAGGACTTACAAGAATCAGACACTACCTTTAACCCAAAAACTCATGCCATTAGGTTGTGGGCCAATCCTCATATTTAAGTCCTTTGCTTCTCTTAATTCTATCCAATGTGGGATGTCTTTCTCATATACTCATGCATGCATCCCAATGATCTCCACCTCACATATGAGTTTCTTTCCACATTAAGTGCTCCTCCTTGAACAAAAGCTGTTATCATAGAAACAAGTTTGACAGGCACAAACCAAGAGCCCTCTGCCCACAACCATAGGGAGCCTTCACTCAACCAGAAACAGCCAAACAAATAGTTATCCATGGGTATGTCAGACATGAGAGTCACCAAATGCTCAACTATGGGAGCACATTCCCATGGGTGGAGTTATCACAGGAGATCAACCACTCGACCATGGGGAAGCCTGGTCAAGTGGTTAGCAACAAAGACACACACACACATACATATGTGTGTGTGTGTGTGTATGTATGTATGTATGTACGTATGTATGTATGTATGTATCGCATTCCGTATATATTGTTCCATATATTATAAGTCAAATCATGATATTTTAATAATATCATATTGTAGTTACATGGTGGCCACTAAGACCATCAGAGTATAGAAAGTGTGAAACCAACACTACATGGATGCCTGCGATGAATCCAGGACCCATCGCACGATTGCGATGAGATCATTGCAGATCCACGATTGTGACGAACTCATACCCAGGACAGGTCACGATGAACTTCAGCTAGCACGAATCTGCGATAAAGCTAAGATGCGCGGGCTTGCGATGAAACCCGAACACACGGATTTACGATGAAGCCGGACACGCATAAAGCTGCGATGAACCCGACACCATTACAGAACTGCGGAATCACGGTAGAATGGGAATAGATACCAGTTACACGTACGCCTTTAAGTTACGCATGCGGGTTCAATAAAATACACCCGCCAAATGATGACATCACCCACACCACGTCAATATAACAGGGCCACATACGGAGAGAATCCGGAAGGGATAGAATTTTCTAAAAATGATCCCTTAATAGTCAAACTAAAGGAAATATCTCCTTCCCTAACAGAAGGGATTCCCTTTCCTAACAGAAAAGAACTTCTTCCTTGATAACCCTAACTTTCTCTCTATAAAAAGGGCGGGGGGAGACAACACAATCAAAACTCTGACCTAGGGTTTCTCAAGAGGTTCCTCTTTCTCTCTCCCTCTCCTCTCTTTCTTCACTTCTCCACCTTCTCTCTCATTTCGGCCACCATCTTTGGACCTTCAGAGACTGACCGACTGCCACGAGTCTACGGTGATTACACATATAATACAAATTTTATAAATGTCTTTTTCATTTATTGAAATATTTTTCTTTAAATCTAATCGTTTATTTGGAGTTCACATTATTTTTTCAATTTAAATTTCAAATTTCAAAAAGTCTAATCAATACAACCTCAATAAATACAATTAATGCCTAGAAAATATAATTAAACATAGTAAATGACGTTTTAGTTGGTGAATGTTTAATTATTAATGCCTAGTAAATGACATTTTAGTTGTATTGTATCTAGTAGTTGTATTAAGAAATTGAAAGCTGAAACTATAGTCCCACATCAGATGGGAAGAGAGAAAGCGGGCAAGAGAGATGAACTATAAAAAGGAACTTGGGATCTTAATGAAATGTCATTTTCTTGGCCCTTTGGCAAGGCCTAGAACCAGACCCAATCTAAGTCCCTTGATAAAGGTGCTAAGCCCGCCCTGGGCACAGCCCAGCCCACGATCAGCCTTAGTCATCACATGCATCCATCAATACTTGCACCCAGCCAAATCTTCAGCTTTGATACCATTGTTGTGCGGGAGTTGCTAAAACTGACAAACTTGCACACATGCATAAGACTTACACACAGGAATTGGACACCACCTTTAACCTAACAGCTTAAGCTATTAGGTTGTGGGCAAATCCTCATATATAAGTCCCTTGCTTCTCTTACTTCTATCCATTGTACACACACATGTGCATCCCACCATCTAGCAAGTTTGCCAGAAGTTTTAGTGCATAGATCCTAAACTCATCAAGAATTAGTTTTTCTATTTCTTCCAATGTCAACAAACCACACTCAGGTTTTAGGACCTGCATTATAATATAATTTGATTCTGTTGGAACCTATAAAGATATAACCCATTACTTACTATAACAGTGTTCATAAACCAGTCTAGTAGGTTGTATTTTTGTACAGTAATGTCTTGTACACAACGTATGGTAGACAACAAAATATTTCCGTGACTCAATATTCACTATTCTAAAACAAAAACATATCTTCTTCTACAAATAATATTTAGTCCAAGTAATCCAGTCTACAGGGAGAATTCCCCAAGTCATTTATATTTATATAATAAGTACGAGAAACATTAGTAAAGGCAAATACAAGATCCAGAGATTAATTTGACAGAATTCCCACAATGATTTTGATTCCTAGTGTTAATAAGTAGTTAAGGCATTTATAGCTTGGGCTTAAAATGCCACAAATAATCAAAAAGATCTTATAGCACACAATTCAAAAAATCAAGATTTAAAAAAAAAAAAAGTTTCCATTGAAGACAATGAAATCCATGAAACAAAAAATGATTAAAAAAATGGAACTTGGCTATGAATTAGTTTTTAGCAACAGAAAAGAAGGTAATGACCTTGTTACCAATGTAACCCATAATGCCAACACCAACAGTGGATACCTTCAGGTTTTGAATATGCCTCCTCAAGCTTCTACGAACCCATATAGAAAGGAAGATCCCAACCATCTGTTTACTAACTATTCTTACAAATTGTGATCTTTTCTTCTGCTGTAGAATAGGTTCCAGGTCAAATTCTGCAAGTGAATCCGTCTTTGATGACCCTCTGCTACTCTTCATTGATGATGACTTGAAAGAATAAGATTGCCTAAAAGAATTAGAGGCTTTGAAAGATTTAACTGATTTGAAAGAACTTTGTTTGTCTAAAACATGCTTAGCCAGTAAATCCATTGGAAGCTCTGGCCAGCTCAAACCAATCCTTTCTGTCCCACTAAGCGTTTTGGCCAATTTTCCTTTCTGTTGGGATTGAGAAAATGATGATTCAGAAATCCCTATAGAATTCTCTGTACGGAAACAATTTAATCTATCTAATCTCTTTGGTGTGGAAAACTGCCTCTGCAAACCTTCTTTCATTGATAATTCTACATCAGCATGTTCAGTCGAATTTAAAACTGACATACTTGTTAATACATTTTCACTCATGGTGACTGTATCCTTTATTTCATTGATATCATCACATTCTTCATCCAGTGGATGGACCATCTCATCATCATCACTATCAGTTGCATCCAGTATTTCATCTTCAATATCCGAGACATCATCTGATTGCTTAAACCTCGATGGAGAAGGAGGATGACTATAACACTTAACCTTTTTCTTAACTGGTTGTATTTTATTCAGTGTTTCACGAATAATATTTTCCCATTTTGGAACTGGACGGCCATCCTCAGCACCAAAAATGTTCCCGGCATTTAGTGGGACAATCTCCTGAAGGCTGCATTAAAAAAACATTGTTATAGTTCCAAGTCAAACATAAAATCGTGAGTTTTTCAGACAATATTGGTCAGATAACTAGTGGGTATGCAAGGGAAAAAGCACTCCATGATTTCACATTGAAGTGTTCAAAGAGAAAAGGGAAATAACATAACAAAAATCCTGCTGCATCAAACATCTATGCGTGTCCAGTTAACTGACTGTTGAAAATTGAAAGCGCTTACATGGGAACAATTTACCATCCTAACAAATAAAATCAATTAGAAGCAGAATTCTGGAAAACAAGTTCTGGCATATACCCAAGCACATATATATCAGCAGGCTGATCCATATCCAACCAATCTTTGATATCTAGGTCATCAGATGGAAGTTTCCCTCCAACATTCCATGTCCCAACACAGATCCTAGAAAGAAATAGGAAAGTAAAAACTATCAGAGTCCAAAAACGTATTTAAAAGAAAATAAATGGTTCTCTTCCTATGGTGGTGCATTCATTACATTTTTTCACCTGGCCATTTAGTTAGCTAAAGAGTAAAAAAGTTTCACCACATACAAGACAAGAGTAACCTACCTGATTTCTTTAGTTTGTATGTATTGAGCCCGAAGGGTCTCTGAATTTCGTCTTCTCAACCTAGGAAGAGTATCAGAGGTCCCTGAAAATTAAGGCCGGAAATTTATTGGAAGGAATAATGTAATAGTATGACAATTTCCATATGAAAAAAAAAATGTATCAAAAATTGACGCACAAGAAAAAAAAAATGAAGCATAACCTTGTTATTTTATCATGAACAAATTGTCCGATAAAATAAGGACAGATATGGGGAAACCAAAAAAGAAAACACAGTATACATGACGGTGTTTGCCATAACAAGAAAAACAAGAAAATGAGGAAAAATAATTATTTCCGAAGGAATTCCCTTTTCAATAAATTGTAGAGAGAAAAGGAAACAAAAAGAAGGGGTTGGAAATATTTCCTTCTCGCCAGGAAGATCAACATACTCTGTATGATAAAATATTGATAACGAGTACAAGTAAAAAAAAAAAAAAGGAACTAAAGAAGTATGATAAAATATTTTACATTACCATTGGGCTCGAATTTGACTCCATCCCCTTTCTTGTCCCCAAACCGTGATTCTCCTTCATAACACCCGCATTCTGCAAAATCCATCATATAGTAAAGAACTAAAGAAGTATGCATCTTAAACACGAAATTCAAACTGAAAGAGATCAGTCAAGTAGTGCATTAAGGAGAACACACGACTAGAATTGAAAACCAAAAGAGAAGAAATGAAATGAAACTGAATTTTTCCTTCTGTTTCTTCACACCTTCGAGATCAGAACCGCTGTCGCTACCGTCATCTGTGTCAGCGCTGTAATCAGAATCTTTGGTTTTGATGTTCAGCCACTTCCTTAGAACAACTCTGGCCCAGAAGAGCTGTAGGCACGAGCAACCGAAACAACATATTTCAGCCCAACTCCACTGCAACCTCTCAACCAACATATAAAATGGAGACTACATCGTTCGAAAAACACTAATTTAAAGCTTCTAAGCATCCCCTAAAGAAATGAAGAGAACCCAGATAGGGAAGAAGAAGAACAAGAAGAGTACCTCTGATTGTTTTCTCCGGCGATGCTTCATTTGGGCAGGCGACAAAAAAACTACAGAATTGGAGTTAGCTATAAGAGTGCCTCCGGTTCTCTCTGTCTGTCTGTCTGTCTGTGCTTAGCGATCTAGAGAAAGGAAGAGAGAAGTAAACTTAAGCGAGAAGGGTAGCAGTTGCTGGAGATGAAAAGATGCTGAGTAAACAATAACCACCTCGCTTGATAGATAACGGTCCTGTCTTGGGAGGGAGATCGCTTCGTCAGATTTATTTCAATCAAGTTTTATTACAAATTTTACAAGTGTGCTTCGGCCGCTGCCGCGGCGCCGAGTCAGACGCGCCATTTTTTTCTTAAAGATTCCATTTTCTATTGAAAATTCTTCTTTATTTTCGTTTTCATAATAAATATGTTTTCTCAACTCACCCAAGTTGCCAGTCGCCATCCAAGTCTTACATTCTGTTTCCATGAAGCCGGAAACAACCATTTTTACGGGTCCCACACGGAAATCAGCTGAGTCAATTAATCCAGTTATTTGATCAATCATACAAATACAATATTTGCCATGATAAAAGTAAAAATAGCTGTTAGAACGGTGTGGGCACAGCTTTGCCATGATAAAAATCGATTTCGGCATGATCTGTGCGGCGCTAATCTGATCTTTTCAGAGAGGGAGCCAGGAGAATTGAGAAATTGAAAATTTTTGGCATAAAACATAGTGTACAAATACAATATTTTCCTGGGTTTTGGCAGTATAAACTTTTTTTTTCTTTACTATTCCAAATAATTTAGCACATTGAGATAAGGTTAATTGAATGTCAGCCTACAATCATTCATCCTCTCAGGGGTGAAGCTATGATTTTTCTTAAGAGGGGTCCAAAGCTGATAAACATGAAACATAGGGCCAAAAGTTAATAAATATGAATGGAAAACCAAAATATATGTAGGAATTAATTGGGGATTATGAGAACTTTGAAGGCATAGGAGGCCATGGCTCGGTCCTCCACGACCCCTTTGTCTCCGCCCCGGGAAACCTCTCACCGAGTCACCGGGCAATCAAATGTGTTCAGCTAACCCAAATTATAGCACGAATGTCACCGACTCACGGTGGACAAATGAAGAGAAAACCGCCAACGTCCAGAAATATAATCCGGGCGTTCTTTTCAAAACCCACAATGTGGGAAACCTGATACAAAATGTGGTAGCCTTTCAGATTTCCCTCAGTGCTGTCAAATATATTTTTAATCTCGTATATTAAAATAATGTCGTAGCCTTTGGTGCAGTGAAAGGGCCTCTCAAAATCCCCTCGAAGCTATTTGGAACATTCCCTCTATTTCAATCAAATTTCTCCTATTTTCTCTCTCTCTGGGTACATTCTCTCTCTAGTCTCTTCTTTTCTCCTTTATTCTGTTCCTCTTTTTTCTTACACAATTACAAAAGCTATATTTTTTTAAGTGGTACACCACCTGAAGTAAAAACCTTTTTTTCATGAATCACGGATGATGACATGTGTCAGTTGTGATTCGTCTCGTTGGGTCAGCCCAACCTTTGGTGATCCTAGCTCAACACGATTAATCCGTTTTTCGTATTTAGATTAGGTTTTTAATGCAAATACTAAGGTGGTATTTGCAGATGTATGATTTTGCTTTTTACAATTAACTACCATTTCAATAAAAATAAGGGTTCATAACTCCATTTGATTTGTAGGAATAGAGATTTAGAGTCAAAATTAGAATTAGAATTTCAACTATTTGATGGGATGGAATTGGAATCATACAGTGAATGTCATAGATTTTAAAAACGACCTGCAGACCGAACCGGTCAGGGGTTTGGTTACTGGGTCGAACGATCCGATCATTCAAACCGAATGATTGGTCCGTTCTGATAAAAAATAAAAAAATTAAAAAAATTAAAAAACAGTCAAAACTATTCAAACGGTTCGAACAATTAATTGCTCAGATCAGCAATTTACTGACCAAAATCAACAGTTTTAGGCAAATTTCCAGTTTTAGGAAAAACTGAAACTGATCACCTGACCGATTACCGGTTTTCCAGTCCGACTGTCTGATGCGGTCCAGTTTTGAAAACCATGGTGAATGTCACCACTAACCTGCTAACTGGGTTTGACATTGGCTGTTGGAGGCTAACAGCCTCCGCTGTTGAGGAGCTTTTTCCATATGACACGCTACTATGGGTGTGGGTCTAAACAGTAATTGCATTCAGTAATCTTTTGAAAAAAAGGGTTTGAACGAGTCATGCGCAAACATCTCTTCAAAAACATAAAAGCCCAGGTTCTTGGGTCCCATCAGCCAAAGTATATAATTCGTGGAGAATTCGGATTAACTGAACACTTTGACTGTTCAGCGGGTGTGGAATCAATGATAAGTTTCATGTCAGTACTAAATTTATAGGCTCCACTGTGAAAGGGTTGAGTCCCATGTATTTTATTACTGACGTGGAAGCTAAACCTTGCTCTTCTGTTGGGGCCAAAGACACAAGCTACAACAATATTACCTTGCTCGAAACAGATTGGATAATAGAATCATAATGACACACATGGCACCCTCTTACATAGCCCACAGGCCTCTTGTGCTAAAATCAATGTTATCTTGCTTCACAATAGTCTCACACTAATCTCAGAGCATATTTCAGCCGTGCATCTAAAACATCTTTTCATAAATAAAAATTTATAATTACGGAAATATTTTAAATATATAGCTGAAAAATGTATTACAAGGTTGGTGTAAAGTGTACTATGTGAGCAATAAAACTCTTTTTTTTTTCTTTGCTATAACTGAATCCTTTTTTTCTCCATATAACTATGCAACCGGGGTAGTCAATCATCCAAACCCATAACCCCCAACTCAGGTGCAAGTGAGATTTATTTACAGCAATTGAATTAATCACAGCTATTTGAATTATATAAAATATTATAGATTGGGGAATTATAGTCGCATCTACCGATTATATTGAATTTACCTTTGACTCCTTACTTTTGCTTTTTAATGATGTTAAAGTCACCTCATCCAATATCCAAAATTTTTCATATAAATCAAGGAAACCTGCCCTTATCATTCCTTATAAAAAGTCAAAATACTTATTACTTTGCTAGCATCATGCAACTTCTTCTCAACACTGCTACTGTCAAGAATCATGAGTTTTGTTGATGCACATAAGAAAATATTTTTGATAATAAGAAAAAAAAGAAGACATAAATACATAGATAAGGAAAAGAATTGTGGCAATGATTCTGATACCAATGCAAAATTATAAAGAATTCGTTTTCTTCAACACTATCAAATATCATTTTTTTTTTCTTTTTCTTGTTCTATCCTTCATGGGTGGATCCGAAGATCAGGATGTAAACTAGGGGAAATGTATTATGAAAGCCAGCTGGCCAGGGAGTACATGTGCGTGCCAATTAAGATAATATTTGTCTTCTTGTTGTTTATTTGATTTGATGCAAATACATTGCACGCTTAGAGGGTTTGGTGGTATAATGGTTTTGTCTTTTTTTTTTTTTTTTAAACCAAAACATCTGTTACATCAGTAAAAATGTATGGACTGTGTTGACATCACAAATGATTTTGTTTTAGAAAATAACACAATTTACATTGGCAAAAACACTTTTCCTTTGTAAGTGTTGAAAAAAAATGTGCTAATTAAAACATGATGCAGATGTTGTAGCCCTGCTCTTTTTTTTTTTGTTTTTTTGCAGAAAGTTAATATTTCAAAATTAGATTTACTACCAACAAACACTTCCAATAAGTTTCCCAACAAGAAATTACAATTTATTGTCAATGTGCGGCCATAGTGGCTTGTTGGGAGCAAATCCTAACTCTTAACATTTCTGCATAATGGGCACAAACAAACACAATTTTTTCCTGGGTTTAGATTATTTAAGGCAATTAAGCAATATCACAAATTCATAATTCCACCAATTGATGGTGGCTCAATTGACAAATTTGCTAGTTAATTGTAGTGGAGACTTATATCTCGTTGTCACCCACGGTTGGATTACCTGAATGGTGAGCATATTTTCCTAACCAAACTGAAATAACTGATTAGCCAATTCAGTTTATTGATTATTTTTTTTTCATTTTTATTGTAATTTTCATGCTAACAAAAGGAAACTCGTATTTCCCTTACTTAAAAGAAAAAGAACCAACTACAATAACATTTCAACACCAACCAAATAAACCAAGCAACTAATAATTATTATTATAAAAACACATCAATCTTCAATATATACTCATAACTTCTATTAAATCAAACACATACAATTAGAAATTATGTAATTTATAATATATTATTGATGAATCAATTTTTAGTGCTAAGTACCTCGTCATTTGGTCTGAGCTGGGGGCAGATTAGGTGCCGAGTTAACTAGGCCAAGCTGGGCAGGTTAGGTGCTGAACTGACTGGGCCGAGCTAGGCAGGTTAGGTGACGAACTGACTGGGTCGAGCTAGGCAGGTTAGGTGACGAGCTGACCAGAGTGTCGAGCTGACCAGAGGGCCGAGCTGCTTGGTGGCGAGCTGGATTGATTGTTGAGCTTCGTCGTTCTTTAGAGACCTGCAAGGAATCAATGCCAGAGGACCTAGGGTGGCTAACCTAGCGAGGTCGCTCCGATGTTTAAGTTAGCACTCTCATAGTAGATTGCGAGGTAAAAATCACAAAGTATGAGAGCTAGAATATGCTTACTTGCCCCCCAATGCCATTGGGGTTGGTGCTTTTATATAGGCATTGCTTGGCGTGGGCTTCACACACCGCATCCGAGATTTCTGCGAGGTCGTCTAAGTGGTCCGAGATTCCCGGAGGTAACCGCCATGCACGTTGACCACCCTCCGGATCGTTCGGCACGTGGGCCAACTTCCAAGGATCGTGGGAGTGTTAGGATATGCATG